TATGCGTGGAAACCAAAATATCAGCATATATGCAAGATGTAAATGGGTGGTATTGGTAATATGGTGGAGGCAGATGGAGACAATGGAATATATCACATCTAATTAACTACTGCCACCTTAATCTTATATTTGACAAAAAAGAATTCTACATATTTTTATAAAGGAAAGAAAATCTACTATCTACTTTTTCTTCACGTATTCATTATAAGATGAAATTACAACTCTTTGCAGAAAAAAAAAAATGAAATCACTACTAGCAAAATGGAGAAATAAAGACCCATTGTTTTTTTTTTTTAAGATCCATTGTTTACCTTTGAAAGAAGCCAATAAATTACTTTTTTTTGAATAAATTTTTCTTCTTCTTTTTGTGATAATGTTTTAATCATCTAAAAAAAGTTTGGAGTCAATCTGCCTGCCAAATATTCTTTTTGGTTTTATAAAAAAAAAATACTTTTAGATTCTGCGATAATTTTCAATTCTGTTAACATGTTTTTCTATTATGATAATGTTTTAAATTAAATCTAAAGTTTTGTATATTGTTTTCTTACAACTGGAATATATCTTATATCAAAGCTCAGGCTAATATCTAAAGTTTTAAAAAGTCAAATATTTTTGTCATTTAAAATATTTACAATAGCAGATAGTGGAACTCGAAACCACTTGACAATGTGCTGTTGATATTTACAATAGTTTATAAAGATCAACAACGCGTGAATCATCATTTGTAAATATAGAATCGTATTTGTATTTAGATTTTAAAAAAATAAATATTATCTTGTAAAATCACTTGAATTGACGGCACAAGATCGTTTGAATGTGAATTTTGATTTGAATAGCTTTTGCATGCGCTTGGCAAACAACCTTGGGATGGTCTGTTCCATCCATCACAGCCAATCTATCAACTGTACCTAATATGCGAAAAAAAAATCTTGCCTTAGTTTCTTAATTTTTTTTGTTGTACTTTTCTATAAATAAGTGACTAATGATATGCTGAGGAAACTCATTTTCTACGAGTTAGAAACTTGGAGTTCTTGGATTGGTGGAGTCTAAATAATTCGATAAATGTTTCAATTCTTTTAATATGTTTCTTAAGGTAAAAAGGTAGTAGTTTGACAAATCTCTATTTCCGTCTACATTTAGTCTTATTTATCAATAGTAAGTGATGGATATATTTCCGAATAAATGATACTCCAGTATGCATTATATATATGCTTATTATTAGTCTTAATTATACGCGTAACTATTATTAGTCCTTATAATTGACTCATTTTTATTATACACAACATGACACCTACTTGACATTTATATGTGTACTTCTAATTTGATGATAATTCCATTGTTGTAGGCTTGTAGCTGGACAATTAAGCGCTGCGTGTTGTATTTTGACTCACAATTAATGACCGTAACTATATGAATTTATTTGCAGATAAATCAATTCAACGTCGTATCAATTATTTTCGAAAGAATTACGATTATAAAAATATAGCCGTGGAATACTATAGTTACTAAAATATTTTAAAAGAAAGTTCCTTTGTGAATGGATAAAGGCAAACCAAAAGACCTTTCGTTACACACACACACAAGAAAAAGAAGAGAGCTTTCGATAGTACCTCAAAAATCAAAGAAGCCCTTTTTTCCTTACTTAATATGTCCAATGAGCTGACCAATTTCCACCAAACTTATCCCTAATATGTCCCCCGATTAAGTAATTCATTAACTTCTACTACAATATGAGCTAAATCAAATAACAAATATATATTTTAAAAAAGGTGAACAAAAATGGTATGGTTGATATAGAAGAAGTAGAAAGATAGCGTTGTCTTTGTGGCAGCAAAGGTAGAAATAATCAAACAGCACACCTAATAACTCTTTCAAAACGAACTGGCTCGCTCGATCACTGACTACGTGTCGTTCCTATGATTCTCGGACGACAGGTAGTTGTAACGTGCACCATGTGATTTTAATCTATTTAATCAAAAATTTTTTTTATTATTATTAATTAACGTAATTTTTGCGAAAGGGTTACGACTGCATTTTCTTACAAGTAACGATAAGAGAGCTTAGTCTTAAGGAATGATTACAATTAATACTTTATTATACTCAAAATATAGCCATAGACATCAAGGTACGGGACTACGAGTCATCCATATATACTTGTGAATAAACTATCTCATACTCGTTTGATCATGCCGAAAATATTTATACCAAGTTGTTACATTTTTGACCAAGTTGTAATAAAGAGAATGTAGTCACGTTTTATAATGTCACATACTTGTTAGTAGTCTAAAGCTAAGACTATTATCTTTCATACATGCATGTATCGAAAGAAAATATTATATAGTGTGCCAAACAAAAGGAAAAGAAAGAGCTTAGAATAAAGGAATGATTACAGTTATAAGCTAAACTTTTACTTATATTGTAGTCATAGATATCAAGGTATACGAATTGTCAACAATCATGAAAAAACTATATATCCATACTCATAACTCTTCTTTCTTTTTTTGTTCTTTTTTTTATCATTTGATCATGCGCAAAACATTTATGAACAAGTTGTTACAAAGAGAATGTAGCCACGTTTTAAAAAGTCACTTAGATATAAATATTATAAATCCAAGACTATGCTAAGCTAAAGATTTTCTTAAAATACATCAATTAAATATGTCGTGTTTCAGAGAAAACGTTGAAAGAATTTGAGATAGGTCCATAATTATCAGATTAAAGACAAGAAGACTGTATTATAATTATGCGAAAATTCTTCTCTTTCTTGTTTTCGTCAACTTCGTCCTACAATTTAAATATTCAGTGTTTTAAAAAAATAATTATAAAGAAGAAAAAGGGTCTATAAAGACTCTACTAGTTTGGATATTTCCTACCACCTCCATAGAAATCGTTATTTGAAACAGGAAAAGTCTTACAAAATTACACAAACTAAAGAAAAGAAGTAAATAAAAACAAAAAAATAAGAAGACATTTCTAATATCAAAATTAGGCAACCTAAAATAACCATTTGGCTTGTTGTGTTAATTTCCTTTATATCATATTACTACGAGATTGAGAAGTTTCTTTTTTTGTCAACGATTGAGAAGTTTCTTTTTGATGAAATTTTATTTTCATTTACGAATAAAAGAAAACGTAACAATAATTAATTAATTAATTATAATAGGCTAAAGAGAAAAGTGATGATAAGATCAGGCAGAACATAGACTACGAACCTTGAGTTGGCCACGGCCGGGCTTGAAAAATATTGAGATTTTTAAAACATATGTTATGTATAAGTCAATAGAAATTGCATAATTAACATATCTAGACAAACACAATTGCATCAATTTGTATCCATCAAACAAACAAACAAACTGTAAGAATATTACACTTTCTATCAAAAAAGAAAGAAAAATCATCACTATGAATATTGCAATTTTTTGTGTTGAGTTTTGGATATCATTTTCAGTATATATTCTGTGAACAGTTTTAAAATTTTTACGAAGCAATTTATAAGTTGTAAAAACGGATAAAAATGAGAAAAATTCCGAATAGACGAACATAATATGGATCACAAATACCATATAATAAAAAAAAATATTCTCTCTGCGGCCACCTCGACTATGGGCTTTGAATTGATTCAATCGTAGCGTTTTAATTATCTATGGATCCATTGGATGTTTTTGATCAACATTGCTCCCAAGAATAGCAAAAACATAAGCTTTTGTCTTGATTAACTGCATGTATTTGTTCACTATATTTCAACTGATATTTATTTTGTATCATACACTATATATCAACTGATGTTTGAGTTCCTTGATGCGAACTCGAATGAGCTTATTGTAATCTGATGAAAGCGTGCTTCATGCTTCAAGGAAGGAGTTGGCGCTGGCATTGAATAGGACTAATGATGGCGATGTAGATGTGCCTGTCTCGCTATTGCCAAGAAACATACAGTTGAAAAAAGGCCAAAGGTTGAGTTGTCGATGAACTTGACGAGTAGATGTTAGATCTTTTTTTCATATATGTTATAGTCTTATAGATGATAATTTGGTCACGTTAAGCATGTTAACAATGAGAAAATGGGTATGAGAATCACCAAAACTGGCGATGATGTGACTAGTTGATAAAGAGAGAGTGGAAGACAATGTTAGAAGAGAAATACAAAACAAAAATGGATGTCAGGATCCGTAGGAAGAAGCCTTTGATGTTATGTAGAAAATAGTGGAATATGAGTTAATTGTATGATAGAGTTATCGATATAAAATATACAAATGAGATACTAATCGTAACAACAGAGAAATTGAATAACAACTTGATGATATATCAGCCATTTATCCCAAAAGCTGCAACATTTCTGAGAGCATGGACGAATCTTGTCTCACTCTATGATAAATTAATAAGACGACATATAAGAACATTGTTGCAGTATATTTCATTCTTGTAATTATCGACATATTCTCCTCTTTTTTTTTTGGTATTCTCTCACAGGTCATTTGATAGTGAATTGTTGTAAATAATCCCTGTCGAAATAGCTTTGTTTTCACATTGAAAATCAATTAAACTCGTTAATGCCTTTGTGCAGTATTTTGGTTTTATATAAAAAATTTGAGAGGCGTGATTTGAGCATTTGTTTTTAAAACCAAATAGAAGTCTAACAATCAACAGTGTGATTAATCCATATTTAAGTGATTTGGCACCCTAAAAACATTTTTTTTGTCGTAACCAACCGATTAATAAAAACGAAAAAAAAATATGAGAATATAAGGGAGATGTGTAAACGGGGAACTGATTTTACTCCCTTTTAAAGACTACTTTAAGGATAAATTGTAATTAAAAAATAACAAGTTTTGTCTAAGTGCGAATGTGGAAGTAATTTAATTGAGTTGCCTAAGTCAATCAACCGTTGAAATTGAAACGGAAAAGCGCAAGAGGAATTTAGGAGCCACCGTAAAGGTAGAAAATAAATTATTCCAAACCAAAAGAATATTATTACGTCATAACTCAAATATATGACATCATGTCACTATTCTCTTCTGTCTCTCTCTCTATATATACATACACTCACAATCTTCCTTACCATAAATCACTTCACTCTACACAGAACACTTTCGCTCACAAACTTCTTTATTATAAACTCAACAAATTAACCCAAAAGAAATAAAAAAACTTTATCAAATATACCCCCAAAAAGATCAAGAATCATGCTTAAGATGGAGATTAACGGTAGCACTTCGTCTCCTACACCTACTGCCTCGGCCGTCGCCGTCGCCGCCGTGTCAGAAATAACCACTCCCATCACTTCTCCTTCTCCTACTTCTTCATCTCCGCCGCCTCTTTCGCCTCAGCAGCCGCCACAACCGCCGGTAGTGCTAAGCCCTTGCGCGGCTTGCAAGATTTTGCGACGGCGATGTGCTGAGAAATGCGTTTTGGCGCCGTACTTTCCTCCGACGGATCCGGCGAAGTTCACAATCGCCCACCGTGTCTTCGGAGCTAGCAACATTATTAAGTTCTTGCAGGTACTTTCCTATTCTTGTTTATTACTTTCCTTTTCTTGTTTATTACTTGTTACACGTGTGTATTTTCTATGTATATGTCATCACGTGTGTACATGATCAGATTTTTCACATTTACTTTATCTAACATCAAAATTACAATGAAGAAAATTAACACATACAATCTCTAGTGGTTATTAATAAAAGAAAATTGCAATAAGAAACGTTTTTGTTTTGTTTTTAGAAGTTAATACCAAAAGTTTTTTTCCCCTTTGTACATATAAATAATTTAACTTTAATTTCTTAACAACAATAACAAAAAATCTGGTTTTTTTTCAAAATGTGAAAGGGAAGTTTAAGTGGTTAAAAGTCTAGTTGTTGAACAATAATGGGTTCACAAGTCATGTGACCGAAACTAGGGCCTACAATTGTCATGAAAGGTCAATAACAACCTTTCCTCAAAGCTACATGCTGCCTCACTATTGTACATGTTCAACATAAAAGTATACATATCTAACCCTTTAAGAAAAAGAATAAAAGTCTTAGGCATAATTTACATATGTCTATTTCATCAATTCCTTTTCACCTTTGAAAAAGTCATGTAGGATTTCTTCATGGTCAAAACATCAGAAACACAAATTTAAAACATTAAATATATAACATTTCAATCATTTCAATTATCCAAACATTATACTCTTCTAGAAAACCATGTTCTAGTGAAAGATAATTTGTTCTTAATTGTGTCATATTTTGATATCTGTAACAGGAACTTCCGGAATCTCAAAGAACAGATGCAGTTAATAGCATGGTTTATGAAGCAGGAGCTAGGATGAGAGATCCGGTTTACGGATGTGCGGGTGCAATTTACCATTTGCAGAGGCAAGTGAGTGAGCTTCAAGCACAGCTTGCGAAAACTCAAGTTGAGCTAGTGAGTATGCAACTCCAAAGATCAGATCTATTAGAATTGTTATATAAAATGGAGCAAACAAAGTTATCAGCACAAGAGCAAGGACAACAAAACATGTCCTTTGAGAGTTCATTTGAAAGTGGTGATGAGTTCATTAGTAGCCCCGATGAAGTGAGCAATGATTGGGGATTCCTTGAGGACAATAACAACAACAATAACATGAACAATAATTCATCAATGTCGTGGTGGGATCCTCTTTGGACATGATCATAACTTATGGTATTATTAGCTCACTTTAAAGCGCTTTAGTGGTTACTTCCATATGCATATTAAAGACCTAGGATATGTATATGCGGAGTTCTTTTTCCTTTAAATTTCTCTAAGTCAACCAATCAGATGTAAGCACGTAACGAAACTGCTTCAAACTTGTCAAACATGTTACGTGTTAGTATTATGTAGGGATATTAGATAAACAGAGGTTTGTATTAAGATTCTAAGAATCTTCTCCTAACGCTAATGAGAAGGAGATAATTGAGATGCAATTTAAATTTAATGGCTATACCGTTTTGTATAATTGTCATCTTTTTTTGTTGTTGTACTTTTTGGTTTTATTCAACTTATTATTGCAATAAAGAAAATAAAAAAATGTCTTCATGACATCGAACCACCGAGTTGAACAACCCCAATCAATACAAGAGCAAACCAAAACTTTTACTGCACAATGGAATCTCGGTGTAACGAAAATGTAACGTCTTGCGAAACAACTATTACGGATTCCTCGATCAACAATCATTATTTTGTTTGTTAATGAGGATGAGGTCAGTGTTAATCTTATTCGTGCTCACGGGGAAGCGACTAATGTACAGTTTATTTTTGTTTCTGACGTGTGTTTTGTTGTGTATTCCATGAAGAATATAAATACAAAAATATCAACAAGTTCTTGAAAGCATACAATGTGAAAGGCGAATTAGCTTCATTCGCTTAGGAAACGACGAAGATAGGACACGTCCCTGTACGAGTACAAGACATTACGCGTTTTGCTCCATGTGACAACATGTATACATATGTATGTGATCTATTTATACGCACTCATGTATGTGTGGACGAATAAATTTTCAATGAGGTTACTGATGGAATTAACTAACAACCTCGATGTTAAAAAGAAAATCTAACAACTTTAATGATGGTGTTTTCAAGGGTAAAAATTATTTGGACTATTGACCTTAATCATTGTGTTCCGATTGTCTCTCAAAAATTTCTCTTTCGAGATGTGATTCTCGAATCTCTTTAATTTAACTTAACACATTTTAAAACCCATAAAAGACCAATATATCTTAAAAACTCTCATTTTTCTAGTAATTAATTAACATACATCCAAAAAACAAATTGCGTTTACCGACATTTTATCACACAAAATGTTCACGTTACGTTGACTTCCAACACTATTCATATGAATGGTCTAATTAACAACATTCAACCAAAGAAACAAATTCAATAGTGGTCGAAAACTACTGTATATAGTTTACCGACATCATGTGCATCACACGTGACTTTCATGACAAGAGAAAGAATATTATGGTATCGTTAATTCGTTATTTGTCGGCACGAAGTCGAGATGGCTAATTACCACTATGAACTATTATTTATAACAAATAAAACATATAAAAATTAATTTGATCTATTGAAAATAAGATTTTATAATGGAACTACACATGTACTAATCAATTATATATTTTTGCAAAAAAACAAAATGAAAGCATGTTTTTTTTTCTTTCGATTTTGCTATTACTATACTTAGTTTTATTATAGTATGAACATGGTAGCATGAAAAATGAAATAAGATTGTATACAGTAACTTTGACCCACAAAATAAATTTGCTTCATATCTCAAAAAGATTTGTAGTCAAAGCAAAAATTAAAATACAAATAAATTCAGCAAAAAAAAAATTAAAATACAAAATCAATGCGTCAAGAAAACAAATGTTTACTAGGTAGTCTAGTTTTCAAAAAGAAAAATAATTACGAGTTTGACTGATATCTCAATTAAATAATAGAATAGCTGAATAATTGAATAGTAAACTAGCGAAATCAATAGGATTGGTAAATTGAAAACTAAATAAACTCAAAATGCTAAAAAACTACTATCTATTAAATGAATAAATTTTTCTTTAAATTAGTTATAATTTTAAAGCGTATTGGATAGTTTAAAAAACAACGTGTTAATTTTCACTTTTTATCATTCAATACTTAATATTGTGAATAATATGTATTTAGTGGAATTATCTCTTCAAAATATGATAATGTGAAAATGTTACATACCATTCAATCTCTACATATGTGTTTCTGCCAAAATTCCAAAAACAAAAATCGTTGAGAAAAGGCATAATCCTATATATATATATATATATATCAACACTAATATGTATTATTTAAATTAGGTCTGAAGGCAATTAGGGTATATAATTGTAATGATTACACAAATTGTCTTTACTTTTTCCAGTACCTTTGTTATCATAAGCAGCCGAAAGAAAAAACAAAGTACCTACCTTGAGTCCTTCCAAATTCATAATTGCATCAGTTAGTCTTAAGAGAACCTCTTAATTCATCGAATTTTTCTAAATTTTCCTGAGCGCCCGACTGATCATGTCAGCTCCTATCTTTGATCCTAATAACAAAAGTGAGATTTCTATAATGTTTGAGACTCAAAACAAAGCGAAAGATTTAACCAATTTGTTGACAAAGGCTGTAACTGGTAACAGCTTAATTGCTGAATGTGGCTGAATTTCAGCTGAAATTGTTTTTGTTACACCAGTTGATAAATTAGCAGAATTAAGGAATATGTTAAAAACTGAATTATGTGCTGAATTTTGAATGCTTTTTTCATTATTCATTTCATATAAGTAATGTGTTGAATATTGTGTTCTTATTTTTTTCCATCAGTTATTATATTATATAACTATTTTATTATAATTAGTTTTGATTAATATAGTTTATTTACATATGCTAATATTTTTAATGAAAGTTTAGATATATAATATCCTACAATTACATAATAAACTAGAAGTAAGTAATTTATACTATAATTATTCACATGTTATTACTTATTGTATTTTTACAGTTAAAAAAATATAATTATGTTATATCATAATGTACATATATATGTATAGTTCAGATAAAGTATCGGATGGTAATTGATATCAGTATTCTTATATAATATTTTTTAGTTTATTAATATTCATTTCTTAATTTTGTTTCTACATTTTCATATTCTATAATACATCAATAATATATTAAAACAATTTTATTTTTATATATTTATTCACTGAAATTATATTTTCTAATTTTATAAAAAAATTCAGCTATTCCGCATTTCCTCGGTTATCATTTGATTACCTTATTAATTATTCCGCTAAATTCAGCTAAAAAACATAAAAAAATTCTTCTGCCAGATTCCGCAGTTACATGGGTCCCACTGATCTTTCTAAGACCCATGTTTGGGTAAGCCTGCGTCGAACTCAGGAGCTGAGTGGATAATGAACCAGGTAAATATCATTTCGTCGACGAGAAGGTCCATGAAGCATATACAACATTTCGGACGAACTTCATGCAATATGTCTCAACGTCTGTCTACCTAAAAGAGACACCAGAAACCACAAAAGTTAGTTCACCTAACGAACTTATTTGTAACTAACTATGGTAGGAAAATTAAGCACAATAATGATTCTCTGAGGCCAACAAAAGATACTATATGAAATGCATATATACCGAAATTGCTTCAAGCACGCTCTCTTGATCGAGTGAACGTTCAGCCATAGTACTTCAATGTAGCCACAACCCACATAAGTGCCTCATTTGTTTCTAACTGACAACTGAACGATGATATCGGAGCATGAGCACCTAGTGAAACTGAGTTAAATTCTCTTCCTAGCAGCTAACTCGCTTATTATGCGTTTACTATCGACTTAAAAACAACGATTTTTTATCACAACGAATAAATTTAATGGTTTAGCGAATCTCTAAAATCCATCTTATAAACAATTAGCATACTTTGACTACTTTGACTCTTTATTTATTTTGCTTTGACTTTAAAAGTTTAGATATCCGTAATATTTTAGAACAAAGAAAATAATAAAATATGGAACATTGGCAAATAATAATTTAGAAAAGAGAGAATATCTGGTATAATATATGTAAGAGCAACTCCAATGGTAACACCATTGGTATGAGTCTTAATAATTAATTTATTAATATTTGATAGATTTTTTTCCTATATTAATTTTTTTTGTTCAGTCACATTATATCAGCTGTCTATTCTTAAACTAATAAAAGGATCCTATTTTAAATCTTTGTCTAAAAGATTAAACACTCTACATAATTTTTTAATTTAATTATATTACTAAGAACTTATCATTTTAGACACATCTGCATTGGGGTTGGTCACTATAACTACAGATAAATTTGTGATTATGTCTTTAGAGATTATACAAATCGACATACACATATTGACATTGCCTTCACAGATGGGACCTACTTTATTCAATAATAAATAAATTAATGTTCAAAACTTTTCCAAAACATAAACTTTTTTTCATAGATGGGACATTGTCTTTTTCTCTGCCTCATTCACCAAGCTTTTAAAAAGCCATAAACTTTTTTTTTCTGGTTACTAACTGGTAGGCTTAAAAAAAACTCTCTTTGTACTACCATTCCTCCTATTTCCACGGTTTGATATGCTTTTGGAGGCTAATATGTGTTTATCATAATGTAGTTTTAGTGATGCTTTGTGTAATTGATGGATTCCCTTTATTTTTGATACAATAAGGGAGATGTTAAAACTTCCTTTAGGGTTATGATGTTGTGATCAATGGCATCGATTGGGTTTAGCATTTTGGAACTTATTTCGGAGGCGTGTACTAATTTTATTATTGTATGTTTTTACCTTCTTAGTATATTTACGAATATCTAAAGATTTCAGATTAAAAAAAATCATAAAATCAAATATTTGGTTAGAACAGAATTGATCATGTATATTAGATTTTATCGAATATATCTGCTTGGTCTAACCCTAAATATAATATCTATACACAAATTTCATCAAATCTGTTTTAATTTCCCATACATACATATATATATATATATATATATATATATTCTCTTTTATCAAATCTATTTTTTTATACATCCTCGAAAACCAAAAGAGTCGAAACTAGAATTATAAGATGAAACTATAGCAATGACTCATCTTCTCCAATTTCAAACATGCAATAATTTGACGTGATGCTTGCTCTTGCTAGCTAGCTACTATATATGTGCCACGTAACGACTCATTTTCCATAACTAATGTATATATATCCAGTCAAAAATATTGTTGCTAACCACCTGTAACTAGCGACAAATTTTCGAAGTCACCTGAGATAAATTTTACTTGTGACTAAGTGGTAGAATATATATATGACAGCTAAGGAATTCCGTTGGTACGTAAATGGTAGCAACAAAACCGCAGTGACATGTTTTTCACTGTTATGGTTTTTTTTTATGCATGTGTTTTATTTTAATCTATCACCAATTCAATCCAATTCTCAGTGTGAAAATGTTGTGATTTAGCGACGGATTAGTGATAAAACTGGAACAATCTTTTTTTCAAATTGGTTTCAGCCATTAACCTGTCCCAAGTTTCGTATGGGTTTGAAATGCACTAGTGAAAAGTTTTTAAATTGTGTGTATTTTTCTTAGAATTTACTATTTTTAGATTTTATCGCTGATATGTTTTTGATTGCATACAGTTTATTAAAATGTAATAGTTTTTGTTGAAAATTCTTCGTTAACTGCCAACAGAACTGCCACCCAATTTTTGTGATGGTTTTATGATAGAATTGATATTTACATACCAAACCATGCATTCGTCACAAAGTTGTTGTATTTAAAATAAAATTACGGTGGAAAAGTTTGTTGCTAGAAATTAGAATTAGTTTCTAAAGTCAAGTTGTTTATAGTGTATATACTCCATAAAGCATGTGAAATCATGATAATATATTGTAAAATTTTTGAACTAAAAAATAACAACTCAATCGTCAATGTGTGGTATCTAATATATATTTAAGTCTAGGCATGCATCACTATGAAACATATGAGATTCGCTTGTCAAAGTATTCCACAAACCAGCTTGCTAAAATCATACTAAATTGGCGGTAAAACGACATGTTTAACCTTTAGATATAAGAGAAAACATGTGGAACCAAGATAAGGTGTGGTGATACAACGCGCCAACAAGATTACAACTTAATTAGATTTTCTTTTATCTTCAATAATCTTAATTAAGACTCATATTAAGAGAAAGTCCAACATCTAGTCTGATTGAATATAAAATAATATACAGGAGATATTAGGTCTGTATATAAAAACAGGATCCGAAAAATCGAATTGATATGAACCAAATTAAAAATATTGAATTGAACCGAAATCAATATAAATATTCGAATGAAGTTTTTATCTCTATATTTAAAGAATCCATATTGAATCCTAACCGGACCAAGAATGGTATAGATACCTAAAAGACAATTATATATATAAATATATATATATATATTAGATATAAAATAACCAAAATTTTCAAAATCACAATTATAAATCGAATATATTAGATATTTAGACTAAACTAACCAAAATTTCTAATTATTCAATTAAATATATCAAAATTAAATATATCAAAATATTTTAAAATTTTAATTTTTAAAAAAAAAATTATATAAATTTTAGATAATTCAAGAATCGATCCAAATTTAACATGAATGAAACCGAATCAGATCCAAAAATTAAACAATATCCAAATGAAACTCATAGTCTCAAACTAAAATAATTAATATTCAAAAATATAATCCGAACCGAAAAGTATCTAAATGTTTAGGAATAAAAGATATACCAATTAATTTGAGATATAAAATCTATAAAATTTAATATAATATTATATATGATTATGTTTATTTTAAGTAGGGACGTTGTTCAAATATAATATATTCTCAATCTTAAAATATGATTTGGTTAGACATGAGTTTGAAGAATCATATCATCTTTCAATGATCATATTCAAACGTTCACATGAAAATATGATAAAATTTGTATAAGTATATTAAAATATGAGCGAGTCTAACCATTAATCATTTAAAACTTAATTACATTTAATATCTTTGTTTAAAGTATGAAATAATATCCACAATCTACTAATACAATAAATTTCTATAAATTAATATTACTTTTTAATGAGGGTTCGCAGCAGTCATGGACCCATGGTGCACGTATGGATGGCCACATCCCACATGCACACGGTTTGCGTAGTTTGTCAACATGATAAATATATAAATAAAACCAAAATCTAAAGTTTATTATAGTTTTTTTTTTGAAAAAATTAAAGTTTTCATCGGTTTTCATTTAGTTGTAGCTTTCTCAGTCTCCAAGATAGATATAGTGAAGGCAAGTGCAAGCGTACATGCGTGTGAAAGGGACAATGCTAATCTTGAATAAAATGGCGCAGTCTTTTTCAGGTTTTGCATGGTTCTCGTTTCTCATTGCATCCAAACCCGAACGGTTCTATATTTTCTGAACTTTAATTCTTCAAACAAATTATAATGATTACTTTACTAGTTTAGAAACAGGTTTACTCGTTAACTTGAACATTTGTAGTTTAGGAGGTGTTATTGAATTGTATAATTTAATGTAAATTGAGTGTATTTTAAATATACAATCAAATCCAGTGTGTATTCAATCATGTACTTAAAAAAGTACATTAAAATTCACTGTTATGGATTAAGCATTTGTTTGATGTAATTTGAAATACATTCAAATCAAGTGTTATTTAATTTCCAATCAATTGTATTTGAATTCAGTTGCAATATGTTTTAAAGTATTTTTTTCCAAACACATGAATAAAACAAATACAAAGGTTTTGTCTGGTGTTTTTGAGTATTTCTTAAAAATTGAAGTGAATTCATCAAAAAAACTCAACAAAATACGTCTAAATTAAATTACATTAAAATACATTTAAAATTCAATAAAATAAAATAACACATCCTGTATTAAAAGGTGTATTCAACTTAACATTTGAAATGATTTGAGTTTAAATGAATTTTTAGATGATTTGGTTGAATTATGCAAATTGTTATCATTTGATATCAAAATTCTATCAAACTCCTCTTAATATCATGAGATTTGAATTTTTATATTTTTAACTAGGAAATTCCACCTAAACATGTTAAAATCACTCCAAATTTTTTAAAACCTATTATTTAAATCATTTTTAATAATAGTAAATTTAAAGATATATTTTTAAATCACTAATTCAGTTGCATTGAATTTTAAATAACTTTTTAAAATCTATATTTTAATAACAGGGAGTTTGTGATTTTAATACAAAATACTTTAAATTTTACTTTGAAAAAATTAGCGACAAAATATATATGTTAATTTTTGATAAAAAGAACGTGAGAATGATTTGATAGATAAACTAATTAGTTTATTCATTATTATGTTGATTGTTTTGTACAAAAACAACAACAGATTGATAGGATTTTAATTTCAGATTACTAGACACTTAAAAATGAATTTCGGACTAAAAAGAAGAGAAGAAATGATTGATGAATCAAATTATCAGGAGAAGAAAAAAGACATATTACGTTCGATGAAGATAATACCCTTGTTCCACCTCAGTTTAATCGGTTTTTAATATTTTCGTTGTCATTATCATAAACAAGTTTCCAAAAGAACTCTCTCTTTTTAAATGCATTATTAATGTGTCGTTAACCACAATAGTTACCAATAGAAATCTACAATATTTATTAATATATCTATTGGCTCCTGTAATTAGCTAAGTTGGGCTAAACAAATTAACTTCAGATTCGGCTGACAACAAAAGGAAAAACCCTCAAATTCTATCTTGACAACATAAAAATCAAAATTTTCTTTCTAGAAACTATAAATCATTCCTGGCACAAATGTTCAAAAAAAATTATAGGACAGCGCGAGACTGAGACTTGTTACTAATGTCGAAGAAGAGAAACAACGCGGTTTCATTTCTTTTGGAAGAAACATAATTAGTTATCTCATTCTTTCATTTAAATAATATTTAGCTTTCCATATATTCTTTCGAGTGTTTTTTTCTCCTGTCTGCAAGTTGAAAACTTATCTATATGTGGATTCAGTTGATTTTCTTCGCACCGTACTAAAAGGTCAATTTGACGATCAGTTTAACTTTTAGCTTTTTCCCTATATAGCATCTTATTAACTTTAAATTTGATTATTTTGACTATCTATTATTTTAATAAATAGTAGAACAGACATATTTTTGTCCCGAAGAATAAAATTATTTTATTTAATATTCTTTTCGTTTCAAAATAAGCATCGTTTTAGAATTCTATTTTTGTTTCACAAAAAGTGTCGTTTTGTATTTTTAATGCAATTTTCTAAACAAAAATCCTGTTTTAACTTTATTATATTAATATATTAATTAAAAATAAAATGTTATTTTATATGTGAATAAAGGGTAAAGCAAAATTTTTAATGCTTTTCTTAATTTGTGTGAAAAATATAAAAATGACATTTATTTTGAATTAGAAAGAGTACCGTTTAGTCCGTTACACTTGGTAATATTTTTTAACCACAGAAGAAAGGAGACGAAATCTCTGTTTCGGCCTGAAGACTGACCTTCTTCTCCTAGGCCTTAAATATTCTGCGAGCCCATCTCCTCGCAACAATTCGAGCTTCCCATTCCTTGCCTAGTGGACTGGGGCCTCAAACTATTTAGAAGCCCAGACCCGAGACTGTTCCGACACTTGTAATATAAATCACATGTGAAAACATAACTCGTCATCGCATAATTATGATTTGTCTCAGATAATTAAATATTTATCTACTAAAGTGAATGAAATGAGAGGTGGTGGAAAGAAAACGTTGTGTGTGTATTAAAGTCTAATAAAAGAAACTGCGTGTGTAGACACGAATGCTCCAAATGTTTGCATGTGCCACACGTGTCATCCTCCCTCTTCCTACTTAACACCTAGGCGCATGCATCCTTCTTATAAAGATAGTAAAACATTTTGAATCATCGGAGAGATAAAGAGAGAGGGGAAAATGGAGAAAAACAGGAAAATCTTTACGTTTTTGCTTCTGGTTATGTTTTTCAATGGAATTATGATCATGAGATCAAATGGGTATGAAGGAGACGAAAAGTGGCAAGGAGGAGGAGACGAAAAGTGGCAAGGAGGAGGACAAGGAGGACAAGGAGGAGGAGAAGGAGGAGGAGGACAAGGAGGAGAAGGAGGAGGAGGACGAAGAGGAAAAGGATGGTTCCTGATGAAAGAGTGGAGACAAGTGATCAAATCAGAAGGTGGAGAAATGAGAGTTGTGATATCTCCAAGGGGAAGGATCATTGAGAAACCAATGCACATTGGGTTTCTAACAATGGAACCTAAAACCCTCTTTGTCCCTCAGTATCTTGACTCAAGCATCCTCTTCTTCGTTCGTCAAGGTCCTCACCCTCTCTCTCTCCATCTCTCTTTGTTTCTATTTATAATTTGTTTCATTCTTTGACATTTGTTACTTGCAGGTGAAGCAACCCTTGGAGTGATATGCAAAGACGAATTCGGAGAGAAGAAATTGAAAGGAGGTGACATATACTGGATTCCAGCTGGTTCTGCCTTTTATTTGCTTAACACAGGCCGAGGCCAACGGCTTCACGTCATTATCAGCATTGATCCATCGCAGAGTCTCGGCTTTGAAACCTTCCAAGTACTTGACTTAGCTTTGACATTTAAGGCTAATCAAAGTCATATTTATTTAAAGAATTTTGATGATTTGGCTAACTTGTTGCTTCTGTGTAGCCTTTCTATATTGGTGGAGGCTCGTCGTCTGTTCTTGCCGGCTTTGATCGGGACACTCTAACTTCAGCACTCAACGTTAGTACATTTCAACCTAAGTGGTTATTAAGGTTTCGATTTATTTTTCTAGAACTGAATATGTCACCTTCATCAAATCTGTTTTTAAAAAATATAGCAATTACATTTTAGAAAATTTGAATGTTAGAACACTGAATATATATTTTTTTTTATAAAAAAGAATTTATTTTGTATGTTGTTTATGTAAATGTAGAAATTGTTAAAAGAAAATTGTTGTTTGAAACTCTCATATTGGTGATGTCAATTTCAATCTCGCATCGGTCTTATAGGTTTCTAGACCGGAGGTGCAACAATTGTTGACGAGTCGATTCGGTGGTCCGATTGTGCACATCCAAGAGCATGCTCCCACAATGTGGACCGAGTTCTTGGGGTTAAGAGGAGAAGAGAAACATAAGTATCTCAAGAAACTACTGGAGATGAAGCAAGAAACCTCTCAAGACCAAGACTATAGTCAGTGGTGGTCTTGGAGGAACCTAGTAAGATCGATTTTGGATATAACCCAAGAAAAAAACCGCTGGTCAGGAGGATCTTCCAAGTGCGAGGACTCCTACAACATGTATGATCGAAAAAATGATTTTGATAACGACTATGGATGGAGTAAAGCTCTTGATCATGATGATTACGAGCCTCTCAAATACTCGGGTGTTGGCGTTTACCTCGTAAATCTCACTGCGGTATATTTATTCTCTCTTATATAGTTGATTACAACACTTATATAATCAAGGTATATTAGCAACATCTAGCGATTTTTCTGTCTATGCAGTAAAAGATTGGTAAAATCTTATTAATTAAGAATTATTGGTTCCGGTCCGTTCATATTGATATTGTTGGATAGCTAGACCGGCTAATAATTATTGGTTTGGCTTATAGATAAACCAATTTTAAGTATAGATTTTCTATCCACCTGATCAAAAGATTGGTTTGGTATTTATAAGTATAGATTTGCTATCTAGCTGATCAAAAGATTGTTTGGTATAAGTAAACAACTCTTTAGTATAGATATGCAATTTACCATATTAAAAGATTGGTTTGGTTCAGATAAAACTAACTCTTAACCGTATTTAACCGAAATTTCAGGGATCAATGATGGCTCCGCATATGAACCCGACAGCAACAGAGTACGGCATCGTTCTCTCCGGTTCAGGAGAGATTCAGGTCGTATTTCCTAACGGAACTTCTGCTATGAACACGAGAGTCTCTGTAGGAGATGTGTTCTGGATCCCTCGCTACTTTGCCTTTTGCCAGATCGCATCTCGGACCGGTCCGTTTGTGTTTGTTGGATTCACCACATCGGCTTACAAGAACCGACCACAGTTTCTTGTTGGATCGAACTCGCTACTTCGGAGTCTCAATGTGACATCACTTGCCATGGCTTTTGGAGTAGACGTAGAGACGATGAGGAAGTTAATTGAGGCTCAGAAAGAAGCTGTTATTCTGCCCACCGCAGCTGCAGCTCCTCCCGCTTAAAGGTGAGACGGTGCGTTTTGGACTCGACCACCTTTTTGATTTGTGCAATGAGAGAATGTGAGACATGTTTTCTTTTTTGAATGTTTATGTATGTAGATAAACATGAGGATGTTATATGTATGTTTTTGTTTCTTTGAAATGACATAATAATGGTGTATGATATTTTTAGTCTATTCTTCGAATCCGCGACTCCGCAACTTTTCTTATTTAGATAATAATATAGCACATTAGAAATTTTAAACTCTTGGAACGAGATCGCTCTTTCTCTCGCTTAGCCTACTCGCGTTTTATCAGATCTCCAACATCGCAGGTTCTCATATTCTTCCTTTTGATATCTGTTTCCCTCTCTGTATTTGCTTCACCAATTTTAGGGTTTTCTAGTGCACCACAAGGCATATGTAAGCTACAAGGCTTCTTATTTTCATAAAACATAGTAACTTATCCCGTTAAGAAAATTTCTCTCTGCAACTAATTTTGCACAATTATATTTAGAACCTTTGTCCCTCCAGATCTAGAGACTTACTATTCTCATCAAAGTGGTTTCTAATTGCTTCTTGCAGAAGTTTAAAAGTAGTCTCTCTTCGGAAAGGTTCTCCATGGCAAGAACTTCGTTCCGAGTTTACTTCTTCTGGGATTCGTTAGGAGTACATATTTCAGATTTTTTTTTTCATGAAGTGTGACTTACAACTTTCACTACTTTCCCTATTGTGAGTTTGTCGTATTTGGATCAAACATGGGAATTTAGATTGATTTGGTGATTGTGTTTGAGTTGCAGAAGACACATGAGATGAGATTGTAGACCAAAAATCTGGAGAATGTAAAATAGGAAGAAACAGAGTTAACTTGGCTCATATAGGAATGAATACTGAATGTCTTACATTAGATGGTGTATTTTACAACATATATAGTACGAGTTACAAGGATACTTAGGGTAATGGTATTGTCTAATATATCCTTTCTATATATACATCCTACACGCTCCCACAAGCTGGAGGTATCGGAGTAACTCCAAGCTTGGCAATAATCTCTTGAAACCGTGGACGAGGTAGAGCTTTGGTTAGTGGATCGGCTAGTTGATCTCTCGTCGAAACATGAGCAACTCTAAGTGTACCAGCCCGAGTTTGGCAATAATCTCTTGAAACCGTGGACGAGGTAGAGCTTTGGTTAGTGGATCGGCTAGTTGATCTCTCGTCGAAACATGAGCAACTCTAAGTGTACCAGCTCTGACATTGTCGCGAATGAAGTGAAAGTCAAGAGTTAAATGTTTCATGCGGGAGTGAGACACCGGATTCGCCGATAAGTGAGTTGCTCCGATATTATCACAATATATGACCGGTGGATTTGGCAACTGTATTCTTAGCTCAGTGAGCAGAGAAGAGATCCAGCGTACCTCTGATGCCGTGTTTGCAACTGCTCTATATTCAGCCTCGGTCGAAGATCTGGCCACTCCATTCTGCTTCTTCGACGACCAAGATATCAGAGTCCCACCGAGATAAATGACATAGGCATTGGTGGAGACAAAATCATCGGTGTCTCCAGTCCAATCCGCATCGGAAAACCCATGAAGTGTCATTGGTGTACGAGCTCGGATGAAAATACCGTGAGCGGAAATGCCAGCCAAGTATCGAAGTATTTGTTTCACGGCAGTCAAGTGTACATCTGTAGGGCGATGCATAAACTGTGAAAGACGATTCACCGCGAATGCAATGTCTGGCCTGGTGAAAGAGAAGTACTGAAGGCTACCGAGGACTTGTCTGTATTCGCGGGGATCCTCGATCTTTGTCCCGGACATAAGAGAGATTCGGGGGGGTTGGAGCCATTGGGGATGAGACTGGTTTTGCTTCAAGCATCTTGGTCTTAGTCAGCAAATCGACAATATATTTCTGCTGCGTTAAGTGAAGACCGGCCGATGATCGTTTGGCCTCTATGCCCAAGAAATACTTGATCTCTCCTAAGTCCTTCAAGGAGAACCGAGCAGAAAGTGTGTTAATGAACTGACAAAGCAGAGTGGTGTTGCTACCAGTGATCAATATATCATCGACATAGACCAAGACGTAAATAATCTCCATGCCTTGTCTTTTGATGAACAATGAGGTATCCGCTACAGAGTTGACAAACCCCAAAGTGAGTAGATGAGAGCGTAGTTCTTGATACCATGCTTGGGGGGCTTGACGAAGGCCATACAGAGTTTTCTTTAAACGACAGACATAGTGAGGCCGATCCTGATCAACGAAGCCTGGCGGTTGTGCAACATAGACCTCCTCGTGTAATCGTCCTTGCAGGAAAGCGTTGTTTACATCGATTTGGCGTATGCTCCAGGATTTGTTAAGGGCGACATGAAGTACGGATCTAACAGTAGTAGATTTTATCACAGGACTAAAGGTGTCTGTAAAATCACGACCGTGTTGTTGGTGAAATCCACGAGCCACGAGCCGTGCTTTATACCTGTCAAGAGATCCATCATGTAAATATTTCAAAGTGAAATCCACTTACATCCCACAATATTTTGGTTTGCCGTCGGAGGCACAAGCTCATGTGTACCATTCCTGATCTGTGCATTGATTTCCTCGCACATCGCGTTTCGCCAATTGGGGTCCCTCAACGCCTCGGCCACTGTTTTGGGGATTTTTGGTTTGGTGGTGGTAAGAGTGTTTGCATATTTGGGATTTGGTTTCAGGATTTGGTTTTTAGCTCGAGTATTCATGTTGTGAGCATTGTCTGGTGGTGGTGGAGGAGGATTGTGTATCGGTTTTGGTAATCTCTGTTGAATTGGTTGTTTTTGTCTTGTGGGTTTAGCCAGAGGTGGTGGTGGAAGGGGATTTGGGATCGGTGTGGGTGGCGAAGTGTTTGTTAACGGAGACGATAAGTCTGAGTTTGAGAGAATTGGGCTTGGATGTGTTGGGCTTGGTTGATGATTTGGTGGATTTGGGCCTGGGCTTGGTTGGTGATTTGATGGATTTGGGCCTGGGCTGTTGTTAGCTTGGTTCATCGGCAATGAGTTTTGGTTGATATCGGGCGAAGGCGTCGAGGGTGAAGAACTGCGTGATGTCGATTCAGAAGGTATTACAGGCGACAACGAAGTGTTCAATAGCGACGGTGGTGAAGGATCCAGAGACGGGGGTTCCGGCAATGATTGTTGTATGAGTGAACGAGTCGGGATTGTGGTGATGGGGTCACCCACTGTTATCGACGTTTCTGGCAAGATCGAAGCTTTGGTGATCTCAGAAGCGACTCCAAACGGGAAAGCATTCTCCACAAATTGAACATGGCAGGAGGTGCAGATTCGACCCGTGTTCTTCTCCAAGCAAAGATATGTGCTCTAAGTTAGGGAATAACCCAGAAAGACACACGGAACTGATCGTAGGGCAAGCTTATGGGGGGCATACGGACGGAGCCATGGGAAACATAAGCAACCGAATATTCTCAGCTTCTGATAGTTGGGTTCTTCTCCAAAAAGCTTCCGGTACGGAGAGACATCTTGAAGGACTGGTGTGATCAGGCGATTTATCAAGTACACCGCAGTCGCAAATGCGTAGCTCCAGTACGTCGTTGGGATTGACGCTTTGCTGAGAAGAGTCAGTCCAGTTTCCACAATATGACGGTGCTTTCTCTCTAAGATCCTGTTGTGTTCAGGGGTATGAGGAGGCATTGTCAGATGAGATATACCGTGAGAAGCCAGAAACGCCCGTAATGCTATGTATTCTCCACCGTTGTCAGAGTATAAAGTGCCAATCTTCTGACGTAACCGATTCTCCACCAACCCAGTGAATGCAACGAAGACCTCCTTGACCTGGGACTTTTGCTTCAGCGGATATAACCATGTGTATCGGGTGTGAAGGTCAACTGTCACCAGGTAATACTTGTAATTATCTATGGAGACAATAGGAGAGGTCCAGACATCACTGTATAGATATTGTAAAGGATAGGTAGCGGATATTGTGTTTGTATTGAAAGGGAGTTTATGGCTTTATTGATAAAGCAATCAGAACACGATAGTTGTGTTTGAGATAGAGAAATGGGTAAAGCAAATTTGGAGACAATAGTTTTTAAAAGAGGTAGAGCTGGATGACCAAGTCTCGAATGCCAGGATAGTAAGTCTGTCTTAGGTGTTGATGCCGAAAACATAACTCTCGCTTTGTTGATATTGACTGGCCACTCATACAACTCACTATTAGTCCTTCCTCTGACTAATTGGACCCCCGTTGAAAGATCCTTCACCTGAAAATATGTAGGAAAGAATTCCACCGAGACCTTGTTAGCATTACAAATTCGATGTACTGATATTAGATTTTTCTTGATATCAGGTACATATAAAACATCTTTGAGTTCAAGAGAACTAGTAGGAGTAGGGAGTAATGCAGAACCCGTTTGAGCGATTTGAAGGCTTGAGCCATCTGCGATAGTGACATCCTCACCTCCAGAGTAAGGTTGATGTAGAGACAGGTTATTCAGATCGGAAGTGATGTGGTGCGTGGCTCCACTATCAAGAATCCAATCCAAGGAATCATATGCAGGAGCTGTAACCAGATTGGCTCTCAGTTGCCATGGAGCATAAGCACGTTGATGACCGAAGTTCCCACCATTTTGCAGCTGCAGCTGCGAACAGGTTCGTGCACTGTGGCCATGAATTCCGCATATCTGACATCGGCCTTGATAGGGTCGTGGTGTGTATTGAACGGACCTCGGGTATTGACCGTACTGTTGTTGCCTGTTTTGACCGCCTTTGTAGGTGGATTTATTGTATTGACGGTTGTTGCTGCTTCCACGGTGAGTGACAGAGTTTGCAGTAATAGGAGAAACAGAGTTTGCAGTAGTCGTTGATTGAAGCTTTGCTTCATGATTCAACAGCTTCTCATGCACTTCAGTCAGAGTGGGGGAGATGTCGCGGCCCTCGAGTTGATCAACGACAGTTTTGTAGTCATCGAAAAGCCCTTCAAGAACGGCTTCAACTTGACATGATCAATAGCCTTGCCGAGAAGAGCAAGCTGATCAAACTTTGTAGTAAGACCTTGGAAGTATTCGTCAATTGATTTCGTTCCTTTCTGCCAGTTTTTGATCTGTTGTTTTACCTGTTTGATGTGACCACGGCTAGGTTTAGCATATGTGGAAGAGAGGATATTCCAGATCTCGGATGCAGTCGTTGCAGTGGAGAGGAGCGGTTGTACTGTGGTGGAGATAGCTCCTAGAAGTGCGCTGTAAATCAGCCTATCTTGACGCTTCCACAAGTGGTAGG